ACCTGGTTTGGGTGAAGAGATTCTATCCTGGTTCAAGTTGTTATCAGTTGCAGCTATAGGCTCACCTGCTCAGTCAATCCTCTGGTTTGCGGAGTAATCAATGCTGGCAGGCTCATTCCCGATCTGAGTACTTATTCGATGTATCTCTGTATAAGGGACGCTGGACCCGTTTTCCAGCAGGTGACGCTCCCCACCAATAGATGGAGCCTCTCCCTAGGTGCTAGTGATGTCTGCCCTCAACAGCATCACTAGCACTGATGGGTCTGTCTTTTTTTTTTAAAAAAAAAAAAAAAAAAAAAAAAAAGGAAGCTACATTGGAACTTTTCAGCTTTCCTTCCCTACGGCGTTCCTGACTACGGTGGGATAGTATCAGGCACTCCTTTCACTCTCAAGACTACCTGTGACGGGCTGTTGGCAGGCTCGGCAGTTTTGGTTCGCAACGTGGTACGAATTGCTGGAGATGGTGAGTTGGGTCACGGTCCAAAGATCTTCGTCGTTCGACCCTATGCTAAGATGGGTGGGGATGACCATGATGCGGTTCAGATGTGTTGAGCCGATGAAGGGGGAGGTGAGGTTTGGAGGGGGAAGGGATGTATTGAGTGGGGTGTCATAAGTTTTGGGCATATCTAGGTTCATGAAGTGTGTTGACAAGGTCTGCCCTGCTGAAAGTCTCTATAAATATCTTCATAATGAGGTCACCGATTAGGTCCAAATGTTTCTGTCTCCCAATGATTAGTTGATACATAAAACGATCGGTCCGTTTGTGACGAGTGGACACATAAACTTACCGTCATATATTTTGGCTTTTGTCTGATATTTCAATACCGGATTGCCGAACGTCGAATCTGGGAATATGCATCCTCATACTCTAATTAGCAATCTTTTTTTTTTTTTTTTTTTTTTTTCTATTTTTTTTTTTTTTGATTTTTTTGTTTCTGCTATCTGTGAACAAAATCGCTAAATACTGTCAGATTAGTTTCCTTACGTTGAGATTCAAAAATCCGATTAAATTTCGATTTCTCAAAATTCGTTGTCTAATGTCAGCCTGTCAATGGTGTATCTTGACTTCTGGTTATTCAACTGTGAAATTACTGAGTTCGATCGTGGTTTTGTCTCAATGATTTTGATATACTCTCGATTGTGGTAGATTCTCAAATTTACTCGATTGGGCACTCGTGGTTAATGGGTGGTGTTGTTTTCGGCAAATTTTTCACCGAAACTGCCAAATTTTCAATGACATTGCTTGTACTGATGAGGCAAAAAACCCCAAATTTTGGGCCTTCCATTAACCGCGTGTCGCCTCCGAGCATATACATCTCGCTATACAATTACACAGAGCACATATAGCCTTTGGGCAGACACAAACATGGCTCGTGAATATCTGCACATAGCCTACAGGCTCATACGAACATACATAGCCTCTGGGCACACATATATTCACAACTATGATACCGGGTTGGGGGGTTCTATCAGGTACATGATGGGGTCTACTCACGCATGGCTTAGCTCTAGGGTAGGGTAGGGCTATAAGTCACTCCGGCTAGTCTAAGTTCCGCCAAGCCTTGGGTAAGTTAGGGGAAGGATGGTAAGATGTGTCCGTGGGCGCCGGCTTGCCTCGCTTAGGTACTCCTGCTGGGTAGACTCTCTGGATTGCATGAGCTTGGCGTCTGAAGTTTCCCTACGACAAGGTTCGTCCGCTTCCACTTCCACTAGGGCTAGGAGTTGGCCCAGCCTTGGTGCTTGTCACTACTGTCTGGTCCAAGTTGCCCTCGATACTCGTAGGGTGATGGTCCTGAGTGCTTTTTTTTTTTTTTGTTTAGTGAAGTTGTGAAAAACTACCGCCGTGATAATCTCCATGTACCGGCTGTGGTTACCCACCAAAATCCTCCCTCTTCCCTCTTTACCCTCCCACCCCACCACCTCCAGGCCACTCCAGCTCCCTCTGGGAGTTGCAATTTCCTTACCACATCAAGCGCATGCCCCCGCAGAACTAGAGATCCCCAACTCAATCCTCTCAAACCCCTTGACCCCCTCCCCCAACTGCCATGACTGATCCGACCCCAAAATCAGCCCGGCCCTGAAAAGGTAGAGCCCACAGCACAGGAAATCTAAGATATCAATACAGAACTTCAGGAATTTAGAATTTCAAACCGAAACTCCAACAGCTAAAGTTTCGACTTCTCGCCCTTCAAATCAGAACAAATCAAGAGCAAAAGGCTTAACATGAAAAAGGACTGAAATTTTATTTATTTATTTATTTATTTATTTTGAAAATTTATTAAGCATAGAATTCCGCTCAAAATTATAAAATCCATTTCAAATCAATCTCAGTAATCGTCCCTTGAGATCAGAGCAAGCTCTGGTTTACGAACTTCATACTAAGAATAGTACTCAGAAGAAGATGACTCAGAATCAATCATAGTTGCGGCGCACGTGTGCGGTGCGCTGTGCGCCAGTTTAGCAGGCTGCGCACTGTGCGCTGTGCGCGCGCTGCGGCCTGTGCGCCATGTGCGCAGGAATTAAAAAAAAAAAATTACAGAACCCCCTCTTCCCCCGTCCCCAGCAGCCATACCGACATACCAGCCTGCAACCAGACCCCCCCGGCCCCCTGCAACCAGCCCCACTGCACCACCCCTGCTTTTTTGAAGTTTTCAAAGTTGTTTTTTGAACTGTTTTGAAGTTTTTTCCCTTTCATCACCATATCCCCCACTTTAGTCCAGACTCCAGAGTCCAGACCCTTTCATTACCGTATCCCCCACTTTAGTCCAGCTCCCCCCCCCCCCCCCCCCCTGCCCTCCCCCTGCTTTTTTTCCCTTTCATTACAGTATCCCCCACTTTAGTCCAAACTCCAGAGTCCAGACTCCTGTGGCATCCCCTGTTACAGACAAATCAGAGGGGTGGGAGGGCTGGGAAGTTGCAAACACTCACCTGCAGTCGGAGTATGCACGTACCAGCGATGGCAGTCAGGGCAGCCGTCCAACCACGCGGCAACATGGCATCAAACGAACACATTCACAACAGCAATGAATTCACAGTGCAGCATCCACAACAAAGAATGACGAACATAACAGAAAACCATTGCGGAGCATCGGTTATGACGAACAGAACAGAAAACCATTGCGGAGCATCGTACATTCACCATTGCAAGAACAAAAATAAGCAAAAGAACAGTTTGAAATTTGGAAGTTCAAATCTTCATGTCAGAAATGCGATCATTGTCAGAACTCTGCACTTGGAGCATCGGTCACCTAGACTGATGAAATCATAGATCGAACGGCGGCTTCCCTCTACTCAGCCTCTACCTGATCTCACCCCTCTTCTTCCCCTCCCTCACTTTCTTCTCCGTTTGTGCCTTCCATCCCACTGGTGTGAGATGACGAGGAAGCTGACGAAGAACTTGACTTCCTTCGGGGACATCCTCATCATCGTCGTCACTTACAATGACGGACTTCTTGGCCTTCCCTCCACGTGCGCTCTTTTTGGCAGCTTTCGCTGCCGCTTTGGCTTTGGCCGCTGAGGCTTTGTAAGCAGCAGCTTTTGCTTCAGCTGCTGCAGCCATAGCCTTCTCTTCAGCCTTCTTCGCCTTGCGTGCAGCCTGTTCTGCGTTAGTCGGACGGCCCCTCTTCGGTCGTGGTTGTTCTTGTTGAACAGCCTTCCTCTTCCCAGGCTGTGCGGGCGCATCATCATGCTCCACCGTTTGTTTGCCCTTATCTTTCCCTCTCCTCTTTGTCCTCGCCTCGTCCCGCCCCTGCACCCAAGTGCCTGCCTGTCGCGCTTCCATTGCGAGAGCGTAACCCTCCTCTGTGTACAACTCTCCAGGCACAGGCAGCTGGCAACCAGATCTCCTTCGCAACTCTTGCTCATGGTGCTTCCCAGGCTTCGTGCACTCGTGCCAATCGCGCTGCCTTGTACCGACAAGTAGAGTCTCCTCCTCCTCGACCAGCTTGTCGTCAACTTCGTCATTCTGCATGAAAGTCCGCCGCATTGGGATCTCGTCTCCCTCATCATCGCAGTCCACCTCCACAACCTCCTCGCGATGAACATCATCATGGACCCGATCCAACCAGTGCACATACCACTCCTCCATCTCCCTGTCCACTGGGACGTCGTCCGCCCATGGGATGTGGATCTCATCCCCCTCGCCACGCTGATTCCTCCTCAGCAGCCGAACATTCCAACTGATGTACACCAGTTTCGCCATCCTCTCTGGCAACAACTTCGTCCGCCTCCATCCATAGATCAGCTCATGCAAGCTCCAATTCCGCTCGCAGGCGGCAGAGGAGCTTGCCTGGCCAAGCAATCTGATTGCTTGTGGTGCGAGGAGGTCGTGCTTCGAGCCGAACGCCTCCCACCACAAAGCTGGCGGCTGGTCGCAGGCTTGTTCTCGAGCTTGCTCCGTCGAGAACCCTCCCAAAGCATTGACCCATTGATCAACCTGGGAGCTCACTTCCTGGCGCCGTTCCCGAGGCATCCAGGAATACAGCCAAATGTTGAACCCGACACGAAACCTCCGGATCGCGCTGTGCGTTGTGCATCAGATGCTCAGGGTCCAAGAAGGCTGCAACACAATGTAGCTCGCTTGTCAGAAATGCCCAGCGGCTCATGAGGATGCGCTCCACCGCCTCGTGCTCCTCCACCGATAAGGATTCCAGGGCACGCAGATTCTGCACAACCTGATCCATCTTGAAGTAAACCTTTGAGATGGTTGCTCCTTGCCCATCCACCAAACGGAGCAGCTCCACCACCGGCCGCATGACATCAAGCGCCTTCTGCAAATTCCTCCAGAAGTCGCCCTTGTCAAGGACGATTGCTGTTACATCGTGGAATGCCACCAACTGGTCATTCCGCACCATCTTGTCCACCCAACCCTTGTCGCACACACAACGGTCAAGAGGTTTCCGCAATTCCTTGAGCGACTGCAGCATCTCGAAGTTCGTTGCAAATCTGGTTGCCGCCGGACGCTTCAGCTTCGTCTTCGGGGAGTAATGGTCGAACAAAGCCCTTGCCATGTCCACATTGGAGAAGAAACGTCCAACCTTGTTGCCAGCATCGACCACATGCGCCATCCAAGGCATTTCCTTGTACATGTCCTCCAGTGCAAGGTCCAACGCATGCGCCGTACAACCGACGCTGAAGATGGTCGGATACGCAGACTCCACCATCTTCCCTGCCTTCACGCACACCCTTGCGTTGTCCATGACTACACCAACGACCGCATCCGCTCCAATTTCCTTGATGACGTCGTCCAGCACCCGAAAATAAGTTGTCGAATCCTTCTCCTTGCCCTTCATGCAGACTGACTTCCAGAACACTGTACCGACGGGCGAGGACACCATGACATTCAAATGTGGTTTATTGCGGCGGTCCGACCAGCCGTCCATCTGCAACATACACCCCGTCTTCTTCCATTTCACTATCATTGCACGGACCTCCGCCCCCACCCGCGCATACTCTGCGTCCAAGCGCTTTGTCCTTTGCTCGTCCCTTCGGCAAGGCATCCATGTAGGATGGGCTGTCCTCGCGGCCTAAAGGAACTCGAGGAAGAATACGTCCTCCACCAAGCTGAACGGCTGGTTGGTGCAAATTAAAAACCGGTCCAGGAATCGGCTTGTACGCTCATTCATCGTGACCACGCTGTCGGCCTCCTCAATCACTGTCTGCCTCAGTGGCCTGCCCGAACTTGGCTTCGATCCAAGAGCGGTGGCCCCGGTGGACTGAGGTGTAGCCGTCTCGCCGGTACTGCCTGCACCAACGACCTGAGAGCTCGGAAACTCCAGTGCATGACTTGAAGCGGTCGGCATGTTGCTGGGCCCAGCACCTCCAGCCTCGATCTGCATCAACATGCAAGCAATGCACTTCCCCTCCAACATTCCCGCTTCCCTCCTCGCCCTCTCCTCCACTGACAACTGAACAGTTACGTTATCAAGGGTGGACCTGTCAAAGAAGTGATCCCGGAGCCTCGTGGCAGTCCCGACCAACCGCAGGTCGCAGTAGTTGCACTTTCAGTACTTCGAGCCCTTTCCTACATGCTTCCCCGCGTCCCCTCGATCGTGAAATGTTTCTTCAACTGCTCCTACAGGTGCTTCAACGTCGCTGACTTCGACATCCCCTGCACGAAATCAATGACAACCACGGCGAAGTGGCAGACACAGCGATTTCAGCCATCTCACACACCCTCAATCTCTGTTGTGGTTGTGACCCCCCTCTATCTGCCCTCCAGATGGAACGACTGACAACAACAAAGCAAGAAAAAAAAAAAAAGAAAAAAAAAAAACAAAAAAAAAACGGGATATGTGGAGGAAGATAGATGGAGGAGACATATAGGAAGAGAGGGTGAGGAAGAGACATGGGGGAGGAAAGGTGTGTGTGTGTGTGTGAGTGTGTGAGAGAGAGAGATGGAGAGGGAGAGAGATGGTGGAGGAGAGATGGTGGAGGGAGGAAGAGAGGTGGGGAAGGAGAGGTGTGTGTGTGTGTGTGTGAGAGAGAAAGCGAGAGAGAGAGAGAGAGAGAGAGAGAGACTTGTTGAAGTATTCACGAGTATGCAACATCTCTTGGTTCTGCTTATACGTTATCAAGGAG